CTCCCTAGCGTCTCCTATCGTCTTACCTAGTGTCCCTTGCGCTCCTTGGTGCCTCCGTTGCCCCCGACCTTCGAGTGACGGACGAGGGTGGAGGAGGGTGACAGTGCAAGGTGGCCGGATATGGTGGATGGGTGAAGGAGATGGCGGAGGAAGAAGGTGGAAGGTGGTTGGTTATGGTGGATGGGTGATGGAGGTGGTGGAGGAAGAAGGTGGAAGGTGGTTGGTTATGGTGGATGGGTGAAGGAGGTGGTGGAGGAAGAAGGTAGAAGGCGGTTCGCTATGGTGGATGGGTGATGGAGGCGGTGGGGGAAGAAGGTGGAAGGTGGTTGGCTTATGGTGGATGGGTGACGGAGGCGGTGGAGGAAGAAGGTGGAAGGTGGTTGGCTATGGCGGATGGGTGGTGGAGGAAGGTGGAAGGTGATTGACCATACTGGATGGGTGAAGGAGATGGTGGATGAAGAAGGTGGAAGGTGGTTGGCTATGGTGGATGGGTGAAGGAGGTGGAGGAGGAAGAGGATGAAAGGTGGTTGGCTATGGTGATGGATGAAGGAGATGGTGGATGGGGAGGGTGGAAGGTGGTTGGCTATGGTGGATGGGTGATGGCGGTGGTGGAGGAAGAAGGGGGAAGGTGGTTGGCTATGGAGGATGGGTGGTGGAGGTGGTGGAGGAAGAAGGTGAAAGGTGGTTGGCTATGGTGGATGGGTGATGGAGGTGGTGGAGGAAGAAGGTGGAAGGTGGTTGGCTATGGTGATGGGTGAAGGAGATGGTGGATGAAGAAGGTGGAAGGTGGTTGGCTATGGTGAATGGGTGAAGGAGGTGGAGGAGGAAGAGGGTGGAAGGTGATTGGCTATGGTGATGGGTGAAGGAGATGGTGGATGAAGAAAGTGGAAGGTGATTGGCTATGGTGGATGGGTGATGGAGGTGGTGGAGGAGGAAGGTGGAAGGTGGTTGACCATGGTGGATGGGTGATGGAGGTGGTGGAGGAAGAGGGTGGAATGTGGTTGGCTATGGTGGATGGGTGACGGTGGTGGTGGAGGAAGAAGGTGGAAGGTGGTTGGCTATGGTGGATGGGTGATGGACGTGGTGGAGGAAGAAGGTGGAAGGTGGTTGGCTATGATGGATGGGTGATGGAGGAAGAAGGTGGAAGGTGATTGGCTATGGTGGATGGGTGATGGAGGTGGTGGAGGAAGAAGGTGGAAGGTGGTTGGCTATGGTGGATGAGTGATGGAGGTGGTGGAGGAAGAAGGTGGAAGGTGGTTGGCTATGGT